TCCCGCCTTGCCCGTCTCCTCTTGCAGCGTCGTGTGTCTTGCGGCTCTCAACAAGTTCCCAGAATGTCTCCAAATGCTCAACAGAGACCTGGAGGACGAGAGGAACCCTGATGTGTACGTGCTCCATGCCTCCTTCTATGAATGCTTTGGGCAGGTACAGGCTCTGGTCCCGATGGGCCCTGGAGCTGCAGCCACAGCACGGAGCTGCCCAGGCCCTGAGGTGGAGGCTGCTGAGACGAGGCCAGGAGGCCAAGGCCAAGGTGGTGTCCAAGGCCCTGTGTGGGAATCTGCGTGGGGCCCTACTCAAGATCAGCTTCGCCATTGAGAGTGACCCCTCAGCTGCCGAATTCTTCACCCTCAGGTAGTGAGAGTGTCACCGCGGCCGGTTGGCCCCATCCACCTCTGAGCTCTCCTATCTCTGTCCCTGTGTCACAGGGGGGCCCTCCTCCGGCGGCTCAAGGACTTCAGTGCAGCCCGCAAGGACTTAGCCAGGGCGAGGGAGCTGGGGGCCAGGGGGGCCCCGGAGGCCCAGGAGACTTGGTGGCAGCTGGCAGTCGCCTACAATGACTGTGCCGTGCACTGCTACGCCCTGAGCCGATTCGATGAGGCTGTGATGCTCCTTGGCAAGGCTCTGCGGGACGAGAGGCGGGAGAAGGGGCTCTATGTAAACAGAGGAGGCAAGCAGCCGGGCTGGGGATCGCAACGGGGTCCCCAGGGTGAGGGCAGTGGTGCATGGGCAGGGCTGGGGTGTCGGACAGCAGCAGCTGCACTCGTGCATTGAGCATGTGCAGGGGAAGGCCCTGCACTGGGGTCCTGCGTTAGGGAGTGATGGCTGAAGTGGGCAGTAGGGCCCCTGGGTTGTCCCTTGGTCCTGACCCCTGTTCACAGCTGTGCCCATCTGAATGGTTTCAGCAGTGGGGAGAGGTACCAGGAGCTGGGATTTACCACTGGTGGTTCGGCTTCCTCCCCACGTGGCCTGTCCTGAGGCATGGCTGGGAATGGCTGTTCTCTTCCAGACTGGGCTGTGTCTCCTGCCTGGCGGAGCTCAGAGCTCTTGGCTAATGACGCTGAAATTTTTGTGGCTGGGGTGGGCTGGACACGTGCCGTGCGTGTTTCCCACTGGCACGGAGAGCTCCAGACAAAGCCCGGGGGTGGCAGCCAGCCCCCAGCCGCTCTCATTTAACCGAGACGCCGACGCTGCCTTGCTGCGGACTGCTTCCTTCGCCTGGGGGAGCTGGCCTATGCGCTTGCAGATTACCAGCAGGTGCTGGAGCTGAGCCTGGGGGACCGCGTTGTGCGGAGACGGGTTGCAGCGGCACTGCACGAGCAGGGCCAGCAGGACTCGGTGGCAAGGTGAGCAGGCGGGTTGGTGTGGTCTGTCCCAGGGCCGGCAGCAAGCCAGGCTGCCGAGCGTGCTCTCCTGTCCCCTCGCAGGCAGTACCAGCAGGCAGAAGCTTGCTTCTCCACGGCCATTGAGCATGAGCCCCAGAAACTGCTGTACTACCTGTGCCGGGCCAGGGCCCGCCTGTGCCCGAGGAGGGTGGAGAGCGTGAAGGAGGATGCCGCCCTAAGTCTGTGGCTCGACTCCACGGATGGCAAGGTACAGATCCTTACCCTCGTACGCTACCTCTTTCCAAGACAGACTGTCTGTGCTGTCCTGAGGAGCGAGACTGGATGCCTTGCCCAAGAAACCTTGGAGAAAACGCTTCGGAGCCCCCCCAGAACTCACCATTTCGGCTGATGTCACCTGGTGTGACAGCAGCAATAGGTGCATGCTGGGGGGTAGTTTGTCTTGGGCATTAGCCCACTAGTGCTGCCCACTCCAAAGGGGGGTTGCTCAAATCCCGAGTGCGAGGGTTTCGTTTGCTCTGGAGCGCAGTGGCATGTTTCAGAGCTCACTGCTGAAGTACTTGTGCTGGCAAAGGTGGATTTTGCCCCTTTTTTGCTCCTAAAAGGTGATGGTGGGTTGCTGGATGTCTACACTTGGCCTGGGAACCTTGTTCCAAGCAGGCGTCTCACTCCTTTTCAGCCCTCCCAGATAAAGGATTGCTTTGGGGGGTTGCTGCAGGCCCATAGCATTGCCTTTGCACTGGCACATGTCCCCAGGCTGCTGATGGCACTGGAGGCTGATCGGAAGGAAGCGGTGCCTGAGGGCGCAGGGCTGCCCACGGGACTAGGAGCTGTCTGAGGGACAGCGACTCGGGTGAGCAAGCCCGGGGTGCAGCAGCAGGGGCTGCAGGCTTGGATCTCGCACCCAGCCAGCGTGCGGAGCAGCAGCGCTAGCTGCAGCAGAAACGGCTGGTCTGCTACTGCGCCTGTCCAGCACCTTGCCTCGGCCCTCAGCTCCCCGCGTGCGGGGCCACCAGGCAGGCTTCGCAAAGCGACTCTCCCTGGGTAGGAGGTGACGTGGTTCCCACCTCCTGCTGCGCTGGCACTAGCCCTACGAACGTGGTGTTGAGACCCAGAGATGTGCTCTGCAGTGGGGGAAAAGTGCCGCTGGGGCAGAGAGACCCAGTGGCCTTCCTGGATCTACACTGGCTTCTCTGCGGAGGATGTCTGGCCCAGCTACTGCCGTTTCGCCTCCTCCCCAGGGAAAGGCTGCTGTCTTGTTTCCAGTTACCTAGTTGGAGAGCACGAGCTCTGTGCCGCTAAATCCCCGAAGTCCCATCGCATCAGGCAGCTGTTCCCATGCAACTGCAAACCTTCCAAGTCCTTCCGCACTAGCTGCAGTCAGGAATCCAAGTAAAAGACTGTTTCCCAACCATTTATTTCATAAAAGATTTATTTTGAAATTTCCAAAAATGTTATGCATTTGTAGAGGCAGAATTTTTGGGTCTGTCTGTGGGCCAGCTCCCGGGCAGCATTTGGGTGTTGTCTAAAATCGCTGCCTCCAAAGCTCCGGCCCTGGAGCTGGAATGGTCCCAAGCGCTGGCAGCTCATTTCAGCACAGGGCCTGAGCGGAGCATCGGGAGCTTTGGGAAGTGAACCTGCACCCATCCCTTGGGCAGTTTGTTCCTAGAGAGCGAATGATTCTGGTTCCTCTGACCTGTTTTGCCATAACTGACTGCCCAGAGGAGATTAAAACCCGGGCAAAGGTTTTAATGCTGTGCACCCCATGCTTGGCAGTGTGGAGCACTAATCTTCTCTAAATTGTCCGCAGGTCCCCCGTTGTAAGTGACACTCCGCAGAAGCTGAATGGACGCTGGCCCAGCCAAAGCCTGCAAGGTCTGACCAGCAGAAGGATGTACAAGAGGCTCAACAGCTCATAGCACCAACTCTCAGCCTGCTGTAGAAGTCATCGCTGAATAAAAGGAATTTTCAAAACCGTTAGTAGCACTATAGGCTCCCCTGGAGGTAGGACTGAAACTTTTTGTAGCTAGTAAAACAAGCGAGAAGTCTTTGTTGTTGTTGTTGTTTTCCTGGTTTGCTGCAGGGAAATCCTTTGGACCTTAAGGGAACGATGGACAAGGGGGTGGTAGGAAGAACCTGGCTCTTGGCAGATCAGGTGTTGCCATCTCCCACATTACCCCCCCACGCTTGTTGATGGTGAAGCTGGTCCCTACCAGCACCTATTCACAGTGAAAGGAAGCTGGAAAGAAGTTGGCTCTAAAACTTCCTTGAAAAGAAAATTTTGCTGCAATGTTGAAGGCGTTCACAGGCCAGCGCTGCAGGAGTCAGCACCAGCACTGTCACGTGGTACCAAGAAGCTGAGGCACAGCCACGCTTCAAAAGGTTCTAAAAACCTGTTAAAATGCTGTAGGAAAGAAATATTCTTCTGTGGGCTCAGAATCTTGATGTGTTGGATATCAGTAGGTGCCAGGAGAGGGGAGAGCTGCAGGTGGGTGCTGCTGTGACAGGGTGAGAAACCTCCCTGACACTGCAGGACCTCTTAGCCTCTTCCCTTTGTCACGGATGTCTTGGGTGGTGCGCCGGGCTGGTTGTATCCACCCTCACCTGGCCAAGGGTAAATCAGTAAAGTGCTTTAAATCACATCACTTGCACTTGGTCCCGCATCCTGCAGCGGCCTCCTTGGGGCTGGAGGGATGAGTTCAGCAGGAGACCGCTTGTGCTGCCGAGAGGGAACACGCAGCTCCCACTGCTCATCGCGCCAGCCCTGGGCTCTGCCGCTTTACAGCTCCATATACATCCCCGATGGATCTGAGCAAGGCCCTCGCCAGGGACTAGAAGAAAAAACTGATCCGGGAGGCCACTGTTTTGCAGCCTGTTGATGAGAATATTTTCTCTTCTTCTGGGAAGTAGGGGATGCTGTCAGCCACCTCCTGGACAACACCCGGACGCACTTCGAGGCCTTGCTGGATAAGTTCGCCGACGACGCACTGCTTTACGTGGTGGTGCTTCAATGGGAGGAAGGGCACAACAAAATCAATGAGATGTTCATTAATGATCCCAGATTTCCAGAATCCACCTGCAAAAGCAAAGGAAGAGACAGGTTTTACCTTCAGAGAGTCTCTGCTGTCCCTGGAATTCAAAGAGCTGCTTTGTGCGAAGCCAGAATACTCGGCTGAAGACATCTGCTCCAGTTTTGTACAAGGAGAGAGTTGAACCCATCCGTTGTCACCTCCCTTCCCCCACAACAGACTTGTTCTCCAGGAATGAGGGGATTTAGCTTGACTAGTCAGAATTTAAGCTCTGCTCCCTGTGACAAGGGCAAAGCAAGGAGAACCAGGCAGGCAGTGGGGATCGGTACGTTTCGGTCCCTTTCCGGTGAGCATGCTGTGCTGTTTGCCATCCCCCAACTGTGAATACACCTGTGAATACAGTCTCCAAAGAACTCTGCTAAACGTTGCAACAGGCCTGCTGGCTTGGAAGGCCGGGCTATTCTTTCCCTTCGCCAGGAAACCTCGAGGGGATCGCAGTTCCCTTCCCTCAAAACCCCCTCGTCCCTTTCTGGCTGCCTGGGAGGTGGCAGGCGGTGTTGGTGGCTGCCTGGAATGGGCCTGGCTCCCTCTGCCGGGCTCTGACCCTGCAGGAAGGGCTCTGCTCCACGGACTCACTCTGAGGGTTTTCAAACACGGCTTTGGAGATGGCCTGCTCCAGGTCCCGCAGGCTGATCTCCTCCCGGTCCTTGCGGGCACGCCAGAGATCCAGCGTCATGTCGTTGATCTGTTCCCCTCCTGCGTTGCTGCACAAGAATGAGATGCTTATTCGGCGTGTATCCGGGAAAATGGTGTTGCAGGACAGAGGTGGCATCTGGCACCCTCCAGCCTGCACGAGTGCAAGCCGGGATCTCCCAGCTGCCTGGCCTAAAATGACTCCTGTGAAGGCAGCCAAGTACCAGGGGCAGGAGAGCTTTTTCAGACTCTCCAGGTCTGTCTACTCACAATGAAATAGTGTCTTTTGGTATTTGCGGAGGCTCAAGGCTTGGAGAAGGAAAAGCAAAACGAGCGTGTGCTCTGAAGTAGGTATGACCTCTGCGCCAGCTGCAGCAGAAACGGCTGGTCTGCTACTGCGCCTGTCCAGCACCTTGCCTCGGCCCTCAGCTCCCCGCGTGCGGGGCCACCAGGCAGGCTTCGCAAAGCGACTCTCCCTGGGTAGGAGGTGACGTGGTTCCCACCTCCTGCTGCGCTGGCACTAGCCCTACGAACGTGGTGTTGGGACCCAGAGATGCGCTCTGCAGTGGGGGAAAAGTGCCGCTGGGGCAGAGAGACCCAGTGGCCTTCCTGGATCTACACTGGCTTCTCTGCGGAGGATGTCTGGCCCAGCTACTGCCGTTTCGCCTCCTCCCCAGGGAAAGGCTGCTGTCTTGTTTCCAGTTACCTAGTTGGAGAGCACGAGCTCTGTGCCGCTAAATCCCCGAAGTCCCATCGCATCAGGCAGCTGTTCCCATGCAACTGCAAACCTTCCAAGTCCTTCCGCACTAGCTGCAGTCAGGAATCCAAGTAAAAGACTGTTTCCCAACCATTTATTTCATAAAAGATTTATTTTGAAATTTCCAAAAATGTTATGCATTTGTAGAGGCAGAATTTTTGGGTCTGTCTGTGGGCCAGCTCCCGGGCAGCATTTGGGTGTTGTCTAAAATCGCTGCCTCCAAAGCTCCGGCCCTGGAGCTGGAATGGTCCCAAGCGCTGGCAGCTCATTTCAGCACAGGGCCTGAGCGGAGCATCGGGAGCTTTGGGAAGTGAACCTGCACCCATCCCTTGGGCAGTTTGTTCCTAGAGAGCGAATGATTCTGGTTCCTCTGACCTGTTTTGCCATAACTGACTGCCCAGAGGAGATTAAAACCCGGGCAAAGGTTTTAATGCTGTGCACCCCATGCTTGGCAGTGTGGAGCACTAATCTTCTCTAAATTGTCCGCAGGTCCCCCGTTGTAAGTGACACTCCGCAGAAGCTGAATGGACGCTGGCCCAGCCAAAGCCTGCAAGGTCTGACCAGCAGAAGGATGTACAAGAGGCTCAACAGCTCATAGCACCAACTCTCAGCCTGCTGTAGAAGTCATCGCTGAATAAAAGGAATTTTCAAAACCGTTAGTAGCACTATAGGCTCCCCTGGAGGTAGGACTGAAACTTTTTGTAGCTAGTAAAACAAGCGAGAAGTCTTTGTTGTTGTTGTTGTTTTCCTGGTTTGCTGCAGGGAAATCCTTTGGACCTTAAGGGAACGATGGACAAGGGGGTGGTAGGAAGAACCTGGCTCTTGGCAGATCAGGTGTTGCCATCTCCCACATTACCCCCCCACGCTTGTTGATGGTGAAGCTGGTCCCTACCAGCACCTATTCACAGTGAAAGGAAGCTGGAAAGAAGTTGGCTCTAAAACTTCCTTGAAAAGAAAATTTTGCTGCAATGTTGAAGGCGTTCACAGGCCAGCGCTGCAGGAGTCAGCACCAGCACTGTCACGTGGTACCAAGAAGCTGAGGCACAGCCACGCTTCAAAAGGTTCTAAAAACCTGTTAAAATGCTGTAGGAAAGAAATATTCTTCTGTGGGCTCAGAATCTTGATGTGTTGGATATCAGTAGGTGCCAGGAGAAGGGAGAGCTGCAGGTGGGTGCTGCTGTGACAGGGTGAGAAACCTCCCTGACACTGCAGGACCTCTTAGCCTCTTCCCTTTGTCACGGATGTCTTGGGTGGTGCGCCGGGCTGGTTGTATCCACCCTCACCTGGCCAAGGGTAAATCAGTAAAGTGCTTTAAATCACATCACTTGCACTTGGTCCCGCATCCTGCAGCGGCCTCCTTGGGGCTGGAGGGATGAGTTCAGCAGGAGACCGCTTGTGCTGCCGAGAGGGAACACGCAGCTCCCACTGCTCATCGCGCCAGCCCTGGGCTCTGCCGCTTTACAGCTCCATATACATCCCCGATGGATCTGAGCAAGGCCCTCGCCAGGGACTAGAAGAAAAAACTGATCCGGGAGGCCACTGTTTTGCAGCCTGTTGATGAGAATATTTTCTCTTCTTCTGGGAAGTAGGGGATGCTGTCAGCCACCTCCTGGACAACACCCGGACGCACTTCGAGGCCTTGCTGGATAAGTTCGCCGACGACGCACTGCTTTACGTGGTGGTGCTTCAATGGGAGGAAGGGCACAACAAAATCAATGAGATGTTCATTAATGATCCCAGATTTCCAGAATCCACCTGCAAAAGCAAAGGAAGAGACAGGTTTTACCTTCAGAGAGTCTCTGCTGTCCCTGGAATTCAAAGAGCTGCTTTGTGCGAAGCCAGAATACTCGGCTGAAGACATCTGCTCCAGTTTTGTACAAGGAGAGAGTTGAACCCATCCGTTGTCACCTCCCTTCCCCCACAACAGACTTGTTCTCCAGGAATGAGGGGATTTAGCTTGACTAGTCAGAATTTAAGCTCTGCTCCCTGTGACAAGGGCAAAGCAAGGAGAACCAGGCAGGCAGTGGGGATCGGTACGTTTCGGTCCCTTTCCGGTGAGCATGCTGTGCTGTTTGCCATCCCCCAACTGTGAATACACCTGTGAATACAGTCTCCAAAGAACTCTGCTAAACGTTGCAACAGGCCTGCTGGCTTGGAAGGCCGGGCTATTCCTTCCCTTCGCCAGGAAACCTCGAGGGGATCGCAGTTCCCTTCCCTCAAAACCCCCTCGTCCCTTTCTGGCTGCCTGGGAGGTGGCAGGCGGTGTTGGTGGCTGCCTGGAATGGGCCTGGCTCCCTCTGCCGGGCTCTGACCCTGCAGGAAGGGCTCTGCTCCACGGACTCACTCTGAGGGTTTTCAAACACGGCTTTGGAGATGGCCTGCTCCAGGTCCCGCAGGCTGATCTCCTCCCGGTCCTTGCGGGCACGCCAGAGATCCAGCGTCATGTCGTTGATCTGTTCCCCTCCTGCGTTGCTGCACAAGAATGAGATGCTTATTCGGCGTGTATCCGGGAAAATGGTGTTGCAGGACAGAGGTGGCATCTGGCACCCTCCAGCCTGCACGAGTGCAAGCCGGGATCTCCCAGCTGCCTGGCCTAAAATGACTCCTGTGAAGGCAGCCAAGTACCAGGGGCAGGAGAGCTTTTTCAGACTCTCCAGGTCTGTCTACTCACAATGAAATAGTGTCTTTTGGTATTTGCGGAGGCTCAAGGCTTGGAGAAGGAAAAGCAAAACGAGCGTGTGCTCTGAAGTAGGTATGACCTCTGCCCAAATGAGAAGCGGTGCGCTGGAAGGCCCCGTGATGCCACAGAGGGGCCTCTCTTACCTTACGAAGATGAAGATCGCTTTGCGGTAGTTGGTCCCGTACACAACCCACGAGGGTCCCAGGAACGGTATGATCACGTCGATCAGGCCCGGGTGCATCTTGTCCATCTCGTCAAAGAGAAAGGCCGACCGTCCACAGTTTGTCAAGTTCCCTTGAATCCAGCGCTTCAGGCTTTCCTAGGAAAAATACCCGCCAAGCCGTAAGGCAGCGAGATACCGAGGGCGGCGAGGGAGACTCGAGCTACCTCAGAGCAAAAGCTGAGTCCTGAGCTGAAGCGGAGTTGAAGGCGCTGAAAGCAGCTTCTCCCTGCACAGCACCACCTACTCGGAGCAGGAACAGGCAGCTCTGGAGAGGCCTCCTGTATTCTGGGTTTCGCACAGTGCCTGTTACCAGCTTTATTAGCCCATTGTAGATCTTTTATTACGGATTTAAAGACGGAGGCAGCAAACTAAAGCTGGGGATTCAGACTCCTACAGTTCCCCACGTTCTTCTTTCACTGTCTATCTATAGTTCCCAGCTACTGAGTGCTTTTTGCCAGCTCCTGTCCTGGTGCCAGAGCACGTGCCTGTGCTGACCCAGAAGAGCTCTGGCTCTTTACCACAGCTGAAGTTACTTCAGTGTAGATGCCAACCCATGCAAAACCACTCATGTCACCTGGGGGCATGTATAACTTCACCCAGTATGGGTTCTACCTTCCTGAGAGTATTTCTTCTAAGGACACAATACAACAAATAACTTCTCCAAACACCCAGAAAGCAAACGTCCAGGTGCGCCGATTCCCCACTCTGCTGAGGGTTTGGCAACTAACCTTCACAGGTTGATTTCTTCCCTTTCTCAGCTTTAAGAGACAGAGTAGCACAGTTAATAGCCTAGAGCTGCTGTTCAGGAGCTGCTTGCTGTGTGAGGAGGGGATTACAAGTCTAGCGATACGCAGGTTTTCACAGCCATCAAGCTGTTTGGAAAGCAATGGGAGAATTTTAGTGCCTTTCATCTAAGCAAAGCACTTTTGTTTGTGCATTCAAAGGGCTGTGTAAATATTTAAGGAATGAGAACGTGATCACGACAAGGACTGCTGTGGGGAAGATGAAAGTGATAACTGAGTGCCAGAGTATATCACAGTTACTAGTAGATCCTTCAGCCAGTGTGTGGAGCCACTCACTCAGCCGTGTTTGAGAGGGTAAAACAAAGAGCTTTTATTCCTACTGCACTTCAGGAAACAGCCGGAACGTGTATGTACTGAGGATCAAGATAGACATAACCAAAAAAAACCCCAATCAAGTAGCACTGTGCTGAGAGGCATCCCTTACCTTGTACTGCTCGATCCGCTCAGCATGGGGGAAGTGCACTATCGGAGAGAACTGGTGAACGTAGGGGCTCTGCAGCCCACCCTGGAAGAGGTAGCGGATGAGCATGGAGCTCACGTAGGTTTTGCCTGTTCCAGTTGAGCCGTGGAAGGACATCACGAGGGGTTTCACCGGATTCCGGTTCTCCAGGAACTCCCTCACTCCCTTCATCACCTGCTGCCTCACCAGGGGCTGCCCCACCAGATTCATGGCCAAGTCACACTCCAGACCTGAAGCAAAGTCAAATCAAGTCTTAGAAAATGCCAGATTGAAACAGCTCGTCTGCGGCTGAGCCCTCTCCGAGGGCTGCTTCCTCGGGCCCTCTCTGCCAGCCAGCCCAGGCTGCGGAACGGCCCTGCCGCCCAGTCCTGCCCCTCCGCGGGGTGGGGAGGCCCAGAGTCCCCTCTGCGCCCCGCTCCGGGCATGGCCCCCGGGGAAGGGTCTCCTGGAGACGCCCTGGCCGCCGGGACCCCCTTGCCCGCCGCCTCCCTGGCCTCGGAGTCCCCGTCCTCAGAGGCTCCCCGGATCCCCGCGCCTCAGGGCCCCCCGGCACCCCGCGCCTCAGGGCCCCTCTCCTCGGG